ATAATTTATAATAAATGTGTTCATCATTTTATGATGACATAGATGTTTATAAAAAGCACAGCAATTATTTCTTTAGTAATTAAGTTATAAATAACAAACACTATATGAAGAGAAATTATACACATTTGTGAATAAAAAGAACAAGCTATAAAAATTACCTTTTACTGTTTGACCATTCCATGTAAAAAAAAAACCTAAACACTATTTCTGAATCCTTTACATCATCATAATAAAATAAATTACTACAATACCTCTTGAAGCTGAATAAATTTTCCTTCCATTACTGAAAGAGCATTGCTTTTTTCCACTAGTTGTTTATGAAGCTTAATCATTTCTACATTTTCCCGAATATTTGACCTTCAGAGTTGTGTTTAAGAAAAAGAGAGACAGAAGTAAAAAAAATATAAGTTAAAAGAAAAAAAGACCTACGGTGTAATCACACTTTTTCAATTAACATTACCTAGAAAATGTTTACACACTTGCACATCAATGAAGTTTTTAGATTATTGTAAATGTAGGACAGATTATTTAAAAACAACTAATAATCATTCTTGAACTTTCATAACCCCGAACTCTCAGAATTTAAAGGGAGCTAGCTCCCAAACTTGATGACTATGTTACCTCTATAGTAATCGATAATATGGATTTAAAATCATTTTATAGTGATTTGATGACTATGTTACCTCTACAATGACTGATAATATGGATTTAAAATCATTTTATAACGTCCTGAAAGACAGTATGAAAACACAGTAGTTTTTAGTATAGCAATGGTTCTGTCACCAAACTTTACATTTATTTTAAAGAGGACTATCATGCTACCTTTCCCTAAATGAAAAATACGCAATACAGCCATTCATCTTGCCACCACTCCCTTGAAGCAAATGGTATCATAAGATTACCATTTATTGGAGTTTCCTCTTACAGTTTTAAACTTTTCAAAATATTTCGAAAAAAAGTGACTTAGCATTTTATACTAATAATGCCCAAAGCTGGCATTTAAATATGTTGCAGATGTGCCTTTAGCTGTAAGAGATCATTTGATGTCCAGAGGGTATATAGAAACCCTATATGCTACAATACTATTTTGTATTTTTCCTACTGAGATTAAAGCAAATGTAGAATTTAACAGGAAGATCTTGTTAAAGGTTAATCACAGATCTAAATGAAT